TGGGTTTTATTTCTTGTTTAGGAAAATCCTCTTTGTTCAGAACTAAACACGTATTCCCAGTTCCGTCCAAAGCATTTTATTGATTTGATTTATGTTTACATTTTGGATTCATCTAAAATTCTTTTAAGTGGTGAGGTATGGGTTTAGCTTAGCTATTTTTCCACAAATGGCTAGTTATCTGTCACCAGGTTACTTAAAAATTAACATTTTTTCCTTTGCCTTGAAATGCAAAGATGACTCCAGTGTTTGGCTAGAGTACCTGTATGAAAAATGACATGTACTGAGAAAGGCAAATGAGCAAGAATAAGGAATTTTTTGGAAGAAGAGGTAGAAATAAAATATTTTAGAGGTGTTATATTAAAGATACTATTAATTACATATATGATGGAAAAAAGTGGGAAATAACTATAAAGAATGTTTTTGAGGAATTATCTATAAAGGCAAACAGAGAAATAGTTGTCCAGGGAGGTTTATACAGAGGTTTTTTGTTTTGTTTTATGATGAGAAAATTTACAATTTTCAAACAATGTCTGCATGCTTTCAGGGCTTACAACAATTCTCTATGTTGTTTTCAGTCCTCTTCATTAAGGATTATTTTTTTAGTCCTCACATGTTTTATATATCTCAGGATTCCTGAATTTAAAAATTTTAAAAATGTCCATCTGTTTTACAACTAGTAACAACTTGGAACAGTGTGAAATCATTGAGTCACAGTAATTTCACTGAGGACTTTGAAGACATTGTTTTACTGTTTTTTTCAGTATTGAAGGGGGCGGTGGGAGAAAACCCTGTTTTTACCTTTGTGTCCTATAGGATTGCTATTCCTGTAGTTCACTACCTTTGCGATTGTCTATCTTGATGTTGTTCATCTTTTTAATCAATATTTCCTCTGAAAAGTGTACATTTACAAACTATCCTTTGTTTGAATTTTTACTTCAGATGCCAGATTTTCTTTCATTTCTTTGGTTGGAGATATACTTATTCATAATATCCATATTCTTACCAATAATTTTTCATATTCATCTGCATTAGTCTCCATGACTTTCTCACTTTTCCTTTTAAGATCTTTACATGCATCTCATCTTGAACCCCTTCCAGATAGAATTTATCATTGAATGGGTGTCATGCTTTCTGTATCAAATATTTGTTGAAGTATGGCGTAAGAAGGGGATGGGAGACCAAAGTGCACACATACCTCTTATGTTTCATTCTGAGTACTCTGAATTTTATTCAAACAACAACATTTGGCTTTGGATATGACTTTATAATAGTCTAGTTTTTCTAAACTTCCCTGATGTTAACTAAAGCCCCTCTTCCCAGGTGTATTAATTTTATTCCTCACAAGATCAGAGGCGACCGTGGTGCCTGTGTTCTGGCTTCCCCTCCAACGGTCTCCAGGATGCCACACCAACAACCTGCTGGATGGAAACACTTCACGCCTCTCTGCTCTCACACTCGTACTAGTGATGCCCCATATTTGTTTCCTACTATTGCAATAACAACACAAAATTAGTGGCTTAGAAGAACCCAGTTTATTTTCTTACAGTTTTATATGTGAGATGTCCAAAATGGATTTTGCTGAGCTAAAATCAGGTTGTCAGCAGGGCTACATTGCTCTTGGAGAAAATCTGTGTCCTCACATTTTCTGCTTCTAGAGGGCACCCACTGTCTTGAGCCTGTGGCCTTCTTTCTCTATTGTCAAAGCCAGCAACTTGTATCTCTCTGACCATTCTTCCCTTCCCTTATGATATTACTTTCTCTGACTCTCTCTTTCTGACCCTCTATCTACTTTTAAGGATCCTGGTTATTACAATGGACCCACTTAGATAACCCAAAATAATCCCCCAATTTGAGTGTCAGCTGATTAGCAACCTTAATTCCATTTGCAACCTTGATTCCCCCTTGTCCTATGACATAACACTGTTCTCAGAATTAGGAAGGGCCTTATTCTGTCTACTACAAGTCCTATTGCCAAGTTGCTGGGTTGTTCCTCAAGGGGCCCATCACTCAAAAAACAGTGGGTTTTTTTGTTTTAACTATCACAGTTCTGGAACTGGGTATGATACAGATATCCCCAATAATGAGAGTTTGGTTTTTGCCTACCAGAGAGAGATTTTCTACTTTTATAGGTCAAGTAGCTTTGTAAGAGGCCACCCAACATTCCTGGACAATAAATATTTATTTCATTTCTAGACAATTAATATAGAGTTAATTCTTTTTCCTCTCACAAATCTCCTGGGCTACCCATTTGCCAAATCTTATCAGAAGCCAGAGACCAAAGGAGCCATTTGTTTCAGTCCAGATATTCTCTGAAAGCTGTGGCAGACAGATTGAACAGGAAGACAGGTTTGAGCTTTGGAAGCACTCCTGGAAATCCAGCAGTAGCTTCTAAGATTTTATGGGAGAAAATAGAGATGTACAGATAAGCAATTATGTATGCTTATGAAAGCTAAAGATCCATGTGGCATAGTGGAAAGAACATCTATATTCTAGTTCATGCTCTGTCACTGGCAAGATGACCCTAACCATTTTTCTGGAAGTCTTTAAGTTCATTTTAAAATGAAGAGATTTTGCTATGAGAAAAAAAGGAAATGGGGCATGTGAAATTGCTATAAAGGAAATAATATTCACCTTGCTACAATTCCCTTGGCTATAGTTAAAATCCTGTTCTCTTTTTCAGCCTGTAGGCTGGCATCGCATAATAATTCCAGGAGACTTCCAGTAGGAATTCGCTTAATGGATTTTGCTTAGGCTTAAGTTAATTGACACTTGTATCACTTTTATGCTTATTTGAGCTATATGGGTCTGTCCTTTAAATTCTGAAGCCTTACTTCCCTAAACTCAGTGCAGTGTGCATTCCTGTTTTTAAAATATCACTTAAAAATGAGCTCACATTCACTTTTAGTCTTAACTGTTATTTTTGGGTCCTTTTAGTAGGACAGGAATCACGAGGAAAGGGTGACTGCTCATGTTGCTTTGAGAGGACAGCTGAGCTTGCAAGGAAATTAGTCACTGGCATTTGTGCATTCTCCCCCGCCACTTCCCTAACTACCTAAGAAGAATGCGACTTTCAGAGCCTGGCTTACCGTTTCTGGCTTTTTGCATGCCTTTAATTTTGTGTTGAAAAGTCAGAGATGATATATCAAGTCAAAGGAATGAGTGTAAAATACATCTTTTGAGTTCAGCATATATGCCTCTACCACGGTGAGTTCTCTGAGACTCAAGTCAGTTCTTCCAGATCATTTCTGTCTTTGATTGTGAAGCTTTATGTGAATATTGCACATAATGTTATATAAGCCTTAACTCTGCACACAAATGTCCATAAGCAGGAAAAACAAAGTCCCTGAAATCCCATGTCAGTAACTTATAGTAAAGCCACCATTCAAATGATCTGGCATGAGCCCATGTTTGTGGTTTGTTTTCAATGTAACATTTGTGAGAAAGACCCCTGATAATAACATACACTGATCTGAGATTTAGAAAAATGTGTATTTTGCCAAGTTTTGAAATTAGACTTAACTGGATTTAAATACAGCTCTGATGACTCATAGCTCTATGATCTTGACAGGTTTACTTACAACCCTAAGCTCTGAATTCTTAATCAGGAAAATGACCTGACAGAGTTACTATGAAATCAAATAGAGCAATGAATGTAAAATCCCAACTTCAAGCTTAGACATTCCCTCTGTTCTTTCAGTTAATCATTGGCTTGACCCGAATGTCTCCTACCTGGTTCCCTGTAAGGCATCTTACATATAGTAAGACCTAATAGAAAACATCATGTAATATAATATATGTATATTATGTGTATAACATATGTATAATATGTATATTATATATAATATAAATGTATATAATATACACACACATAGAGAAAGAGAGCTTTTTTAATGAATGCCTAAATTGGTTGAAGAGTGTGAAAGTAATCAAGTAAAGAAGTGGTTAGCATTGTGGAAGTAAAAATACATACATAGCAATATGACTGAGACATCCTAGAAATTTAGCCTGCTCTTGACAGAGAGAAACCTCATTAGGATAGAATTTTAGTTAGTCGGTTTTAGTTAAGTCTTAGCTTGTTATTCCCATAGTCTGACTTTTGAAACCATGTAAGTGCTGACAAAGGGTATATGAATTAACAATATAAGAAGGGATTTCTAAATCCAGATTTTGTAAAAACCCACAAGGACCATGTTCTATGAGATGTATTTACGAACAATTATAAAGGAAATAGAGTGAGTTCTGATGTTAGTCTCCAGTTCCTCTTCACTAAGAATTTGGTGGTAAACTGGTGTGGTTAAGGGCTAGCCTAACAGCCTTTATGCTGGTCCAGCCTGGAATCTAGCTCAGTGATGACCTTCTTGTCTAAAGTGGCCTGGCCAGAGCTTGGGCTGCATGCTTCACTGCCTTTGTTACTGTTATTTTCTTCTGGCCTTGTGATACTGTTACTTTCTGTCTCTCAAACACAACACTGTTCATGTATGCATCCTTTCTACCAGGGATACCGTCTTCTGGGAAGGGAGTGTTCAGTGCTGCCTGGGGTGGGGCAAGACAATGTTGGCCACCTTTTAACAGGAGGTATGATTCCTCCCTGTTTGGAGCACCAAATGCATGAAGAATATAAACTACATACCTTCCTCCCAAAAAATTAGATCTAAAACCAGCTCATTAAGGCAGTTATTTTTTTTTGTATGTGTGTCCTGGAATTTGAATTGTGAGTTCATGAGGTGAAAAGTATTAAACTCTGACAGGGTGGGAGAAGGTGGAGAACATTCCTTTCCAACTGCACACCTAAGACCCCTGTCTCCCACTATATATACTCCTGGGGAAATAAGCAACTTGTTAGGTGCTCAGAAGAGTTCTCTAGCTAATGCTGACATCAGTATAGACAGAACTGAAGTGTGAGCACTGTTGGGTTGTGCTTTCACTTAACTGATATCTGTATCCTTTCCTCATGTTTTGTGCTTGAAGCTGAAGAGTAGGGACTTAGGAAAAAGGATGAAAGAAAACAAATCACTTAAACTTGGTCTTCTCTCAAAATTATAGGGTGAAAGAGGATGTAGAATAGAAGATAATGAGATTAATGAAAGAGATAATGAGAATGTCATAGAAGGCATACATCTTTTATAAAAAGGGAAAGATTAATCTGCCATACATTATGTACACTGTTACAATAATCCCTGTTTATAATTTTACTTCTCTTTTTCTTTTGTAATGTCCTAGATGGGAAGAGGAATGAGTTATCTTACAAATTTAGATTTTGCAAACTTGTGCACTGGTGAGAGTGCTATTGAAACACATTGTTAAGAAAGCTTTTCAACACAGAAATGTGTCATTTCCTTTCTTCATGTCCAGATGCTGAAATACTATGTGATAAAGATTTTAGGTTTCAATTGTAAAGAGACGGAAGTGGCTAAATCAGTGCTGCTGTCTTTGGGACAAAAGGTAAGTGAAGTTTATTGTAATGTTTCTCCAAAATTGCTTCTGTTAATTCCATGTCTCTACTCAGTGTCTGTCTATTGTGTTTGTGTGTGTCTGAATGTGTGACATATGAGATATAAACATATATATATGAAATCAATAATTTCTGGTAGAATTTTTATCCTATCACCAATAATTTGGTTTGGTAGTTTTAATGATAATAGAGATTTCTGCTAGGTTTTCTGTGAATGGAAAGTGTATGTATGGGCATAAATATATATGAAATATACTAAATATTTTGTAGGGTGAACTAGTAAGAAGTTTTTGGCATGTAATTGTGCACATTTTGTCAAAAAAATTATTGACTTTATTCAAAATAGGATTAAACTTATTTAATGAGTCTCATTTCCCTACTGTTCACATAGTACTTTTGACTTTAATCTAATACCTTTTATTACCTTTATGTACTGACATGACAAATATTGGTTGGGCATTTACTCTATGCACCTCGCTAAAGTAGAAGTAGGGAGGGATACAAAAATTAAAATATGGTGTCCATCTTCAGGAAGTTCATGATTAAAGGCAAATAGGTATAGTGTGATTTGAACACCTTAAATAGTGTGAAAATGTTACAGAAAACTATTAGTGAGAAGTAAGAGAGGCCAATGGTATTTCAAAGGTTAAAAAAATTATTTAAAGGGTTTGAAAAAATCTCCATGGAGATGTTAGAATTTCGGTTCATATTGATGAGTGTGTAAGATTGAAACAGCATAAAGTGGGGTTAGCATTCTCATTGGCCAGAGGAGAATAGTGATAAAAAGGACATAAAACTAAGATTATATATGTTTTATGTAGTAGTTAGGAGTTGATATTCTGGAAGCACACACTGCCTACATTCAAGTCCCAGCTTCCCTACCCCTTGTCTGCACAGCATTAACTGTTACTTAACCATTTTAGGTTTTGGTTTCCCAACCTTGTCAAATGGAGAATTAATTTATTGATGGTTGTCTGCATACCAGGCAGTTTAACAAAAATTAATTTCAATCCTCATAATACTTCTTTACACTGACACTGTAATAATATTTTACATATATATAGAAACCACAATAAAATAAATTAAAATAGTTGCCAAAGGTCACATAGCTAGGAAACTGCACAGCCAATATCTAAACCAAGACTTCATATTCAAGGGTGAATCCATACAGTAAAATCAAGCACAACAGGGATATCCATTTCTCACCTTAATCCCTCCTACAGACACATTCCTTAAGTGTAGAGCTACTGATTTCACAAACACATTCATTTAATTTTCATTCATATGCACTTTTAGCTGTTCATGTAGAATCAAAATTTTTCTTTTAAAATAATAAGGTTACAAAGTTATGATTTACCCCAAATTTAAAGATGAAATTAACCTTAGAAGTTTGATGATAAATCTGAACAGGAAACAGTCTTTGAAGAAAGAATATGCATTAAATATGTTACATATAAAGAGTTCACTTATATCTATAAAAAGAAAAAGCCTCAGGAGATGAATAAACAATTACTATGAATAAACCAAAAACCCAAGAAGAAAAGTAAATAATAAACAATTATATGAAACTACCTGTTCAACACTAATAACAAAATGCAAATGAAAGCCACCTTGAGATACTGTTTAACTCATCAAAAGATAAATGATTCTAAAGTAAATACTATTACTGAATAATGGGGAATTTTGCATAAAACCACAATAGTCATATATGACTGGGGTCTTCATGAATTTGTATGATCTTTTTAAATAGTCAGACAGTAGATACCAAGAAGTTTATAATATTTTCCCTGTTACCTGGTAGTTCAACATATGACAAATTATCCTAAAGAAATATCTCAAAAGAAGAAAGTTGACTATGAAAATATTTACATCATCATCATCTCTATTAGAAAAGTATTACCCTCCAAAGAAGAGGGGAAATTAAAAAATATATATATGATATCCTAAGAAAATGGTTATATAAGTAAAATACATGTATTTGATGAATTATGATATACATTTTAAATTTGAAAAAAATAATTTGAAGTTAAAAATATTGATAGGATTTCAGGGAAATTATAAGACCAAAATATGTATACTGTATATAACATTTACATATATACACATACACACACACAGAATGAAATATCATATGAAAAATGAAGGTATTGCTTCATAGAGTGATGTAATGATAGAGTTTTTTAGTTGAAGTATACTTCATATACAAATAGCATATTAGTTTCAGGTGTACAGTCTAATGATTTGACACATATACTTTAGAAATGATCTCCAAAAGAAGTCTAGTTACTGTCACCATAGGTAGTTATTACAATGTTATAGATTATATTCCCTACACTGTATTTTTATATCCCTGTGACCTATTTGTTTTATAACTGGAAGTTTGTACCTCTTAATCCCCCTGATGTATTTCATCCATTCCACCCATTGCCCTTCACTGCTGCAACCACCAGTTTGTTTTCTATTTATGCGTCTGTTTCTCTTTTGTTTTGTTTGTTTCTTAAATTCCACCTACAAGTGAAATCATACAGTATTTGTCTTTCACTGTCTGACTTATTTCACTTAGCGTAATACCCTCCAGGTCAATCCATGTTGCGAATGGCAAGCTTTCATTCTTTTTTTATTAACATGTATTTGTGTATATATACCACAACTCCTCTACCCATTAATTTATCAGAGGACCCAGAGGTTGCTTCCATATCTTGACTAATAATACTGCAGTGAACACAAGGGTGCATATATCTTCTCAATTTAGTATTTTCATTCTCTTCAGGTAAATACCCAGAAGTGGAATTGCTAGGTCATATGGTATTTCTATTTTTGATTTTTTGAGGAACCTCCATACTGTTCTCCATTGTGGCTGCACCAGTTTGCATTCCCACCAACTGTGCACAAGGGTTCCTTTTTCTCCACATCCTTGCCAATGTTTGTTGTCTTTTTGATGCTAGCCATTCTGACAGGTGTGATGTGGTCTCTCATTGTGATTTTGATTTGCATTTTCTGAAGACTGGTAATGTTGAGCATGTTTTCACCTGTTGGCCATCTATATATCTTCTTTGGCAAAATAGACATTCATCTACTCTGCCCATGTTTTAATTGGACTGTTTGGTTTTTTTAGTTCTATGAAGTCTTTATGTATTTTGGAATATTAACCCCTTAATTTTGGATTTTAACCTCTTATCAGATACATGATTTGCAAATATTTTCTCCCATTTGTCCCAACTTATCTTTAATATTGTTATAATGTCTGTATAACAAAAACAGGAAAAGTATAATCAGTATGTTTCCAAATAAGTTAAAAGTGAAATTCCTTCAATATAGTTTTCCCATTGTAGCTTCTGTAAACTCTTCACCCACTTTGTGAAAAGCTGATATTGCAGAGATGTGTTTCACTTCTCATGAGGACATGCTTTCAATAAGTTATACAAACTCATAAGATTTCACAATCCTTTGTCAGTATGTTGACATTTGGTAGGAATTGCAACTTTATGTGAACTTACTTTATCTCTTAACTTTGGAAATGACATTTAAAGGCACATTTGAGTTGTGAGAACTGTTCACTGGCTGCTGACAAAGCTTCACAGTGTATGTTCTCTAGCATTACTTAAAAAGTTACAATGATAATAAAGAACTGAAGTAATGTGGGAAGTATAATAAACAACTTTGAGACAAAGTGGGGATATTGCAGGTGAAAATTTTTGTTTCAGTCTCCTGTTCACACATGATTCAGAGAAAAAAAAACTTTTATTTCCCAATTTGTAATGGAAGAACTTTTAAAATTTGCACATTAGTGAAATGCAAACTTTTCTTGAGGCCTGACCCAGGATATGAAACTTAGTCATCTTGCAGAAAAATAATGTCTTTCATTTACTTAGATAATTTCATATATTTATGTATGTGGTGAGCATCTACTAAGTGCCAGGAACTTTCGGGTCATTGATCCAAAGAGTGTTCATCTTTGGATCTAACTTGGGTGAAAGGAGACAAACAATAGACAAGATACGTAAGGAAAAAGTATTTCATGTTAGATGGCGACAAGTTTTTTTGGGAAAAAAAAAAAATCAAGCCAGAAAGGAGAAGAGGAAGTGAAAGAGGAAGGTTCATTTTAAATCTGGTGTTTGAGAAAGGTCTGAGAGAGTGAGATTTTGGTCAGGACCTGGGTGAGGAGGGAAGGTGTTCATAGGTTGTGAGCAGAGATGTTACATGTTCTGACTTACTTTTCAAAAGGAACACTCTAGAGGCTGTACGGAGAATAAAATGGAAGGAGTAAGAGTGAAGCTGAGAGACCATTCAGGGAGCTATTAAAGTAGTCAGGCGGGAGAGATGGGGCTTGAACCAGGCTGGCAGGAGGGAGGTGAGGAGAAGCAGGCAGCTTCTGCACTGGGTCTGAAAACAAACCAACAGAATCTGAGAGATTGGATGTGGCGGATGAGAGGAGGTGAGGACAAGGAAGAGCCCTAGGTTTGGGCCGTATTAGAAATCCAAAGAGTGGTGATGTTTGGCAATAGCATGTACAGTTGTGGAGTTCAGAGAGGTCTGGGCAGCAGACAAAATGGAAGAGCCATCAGCCTTGCAGACTGCATTCAAAGCAGTGAGAGCACGAGGGAGTGAAGAAGGGTGACAGGATGGGAACGGGGTGTAGGCCTCCACTGTGAGTAGGTTGGGAAGTGGTGAGGAATAAGCAGGGAAGAGGAAACCCCCCTTAATGTACTGTCCTGGTGCAATCTTCAGCATCTCTCTGCAGAAAAGCATGACCATGACCAGACTTCTGGTCTACACCTGCCTTGCACTTTTACATGTTTACTGCTTCTTGGTCTCTCAAGAGTGTGCTCTGCCTCTGCCGTTCAGGCAACACAGCTCAAAGGCCAAGGGGCAGGTTAGGGATGCACTTGTATCTGTCTTACATGTCTTGAAATTCTTTTTTCTTTGCTGTGACCCTGACTTGTTCTTGTACCACCATAGTGTCAAAGCTTCATTTCTGATTTTTAGCACTAGTTTTTCTTTCTTTACTTGCCCACTAAATAGGCTCTCAGATATATGTTCTGCATACTTTTTTTCCTGAAAAATATTTTCTGCTATTTGATTTTGGTCTCTTCTCTGTTAAAGTGCTCCATTTAGGTGTTTGTTCATCAATTCTTCTCATTTCCTCCTTCCTTAATGCCTCTTGGATCCTCCCTACTCACCTACCCCATTGCTGCCATCTGGGATGCCTAGGTGAGGTAGAGAAAAGTGAGCTGAAAGCCAAAAATTGAAAGACTGGAGGGAAGAATGGCTCCAAGGAAACCAGGAGATGCTTTGCAATCGATGTGGTTCTTGTGGGTGAGATGGATCTAGAATGAAGCTCTGGCTTCTGGTATGAGTGGTCATGTTTTGTTATCATCTCTAGATATTACCTCTGTTATTGCATCTGCCTGACTGTATCATGTATGTCGCACTACACAATGAATAGAATATAATAATAAGTTATTAACACACATAATGTAAATGGATGATATGGTGACATCATAAATCCTGGAAAAAGGAAAAGTTTTGTTTATGTGGAAAATGCACCATTGTAGCTGATTGTATTATTTTAAAAAGTCTGATTCTGAGACATGAGATGAGAGCTGGATATATTGGCTTGGTCAGTGCCCAGGTGGTAGCTCACGCCATGGAAGTAGGTAAGATTCTCACAAAGCACATAGAGACTAAGAACAAAAGAGAGGAACCATAGGAGATTCCAGCAATCCTGTGAATCCTAATTCATGATTAGCCAAAGCTGTTTTGTTTTTTCTGGAAAAAACATATACTAATATTTCATACAGTTCATGATTAACTAAACCTTGTTATACACTGTCTCAGAAAACAAACAAAACTTCCTGTGATACACCAGAGTAGCCAGAGAGCAATTTTTTTTTAGTTAGAAATGTTGCTCATATATTATAATGGCTTCAAGTATACAACGTCGTGATTCAACAACTATGTATATTATAAAGTGTTCACCACAGTAAGTGTAGTTACTATCCGCCAGCATACAAAGATTATAATATTGATGACTATGTAGAGAGGAATAGTTTTTTCATCATTCCAATCGGTTGAATTTTAGTTTTCATCTGCCTTCCATCTCTGTGCCTGTCAGGGGTTTTATATAACCCTGCTATGGTCAGTTAAGCTAATCCACTTGTAGACATTTTTTAGAGGGTTTTCTTTTCCAAAGTTTAAATAAATCTACCCAAAGAAACCATAGTTTGATACAGTAATCTACAGAACGTTTATCATCATCACATAAGCCCATAAAAGATAGATTAATGCTTAGAGGCCTAAAGAAAAACAAAACTGAGTTTACTTTCTATTTCAGGGTGAAAGGGAAATAAGCAAGATTATTTCATGGACAATATATATTTTACCACTAGAAATATAAATCAGGTCACTATGCCAAAGCAAGTAATTTTCTTGCTTATATATGAGTACATCTTCATATTATATTGTGGTTAGGTTGTGAAAGCCAGTTAAAATTATGCAGTCAGAAAATGATGGAAGAATGAGTAGGTGTGCCCAGCTGCCTGCCTCTCTGGCCTCTCCGTGGGCCTCACCCAGAGCCCCTGCGGCTGTGAAATTATCCGCTCTAGTTACCATGTTGTTCATGCCTTTATGCCCGTTAACATATTTTCTATCCCTGGAATATTCTTCTCACCCCACATTCCTGCTCATTTTTCAAAATTCTGATAAAGGCACCATCTTTTCTATGTTCCCACTCTGACTACTCACTTCCCAAAAGAGTTAATGACTCCCTTTTGCTGGACTGTGCTTTGTATGTATACATACATATCACACTGTTTGGTGATTATTTACAAAGATTTTAGTCTTCTGTGTTCATTCATAAGATCTTTGTTGGCTGTGAGTGTTTTGTACACATTGATCTTAGCATTCTGGTGACTTGCACAGTACTTGATACAATGACACAAAAAAGGAGATTGTTGGGCTGGCCTCCATAAAGGGATAGGTATTTCCATCTTAAAGTCTTTGATTGAAAATATCCCAGTACTTAAAGTTCTATTGATTAATTTTTTCCTCGCGTACCATCTAGCATTCTAGAGCCATCTTTAAAAAAAAAAAAAAGGTGGAATTCTTTCTTTGTCCCAAGAAAAGTCCTTATGACAAGGAGGCCCTTTGGGTTCTAAATTGCAAATTTATTTGAAAGTACATGTGGAGCTTCTGAGCAAATATATGGATTAAAAATAACATTTGTTCTGCTTTACTGAGACATTAGAGAAGATCAGTGTATTATCAGTCTGGATTTACCATTTTCTTTTCTCTTTAAAATAAAATGTTTACGTTTTCTGTAACAAGCATTCATATAGGCTTTAACAAAGGTCTGTAATATATGTATATAAACTTAAAAGGCTAAATACACAAGGAGTGATTTGTGAGATATCCCCCCAAAACAATTTGAGGAATCTGTATTGTGCCTGAAGTTCATGAAGATACTTTTTTCATGAAGACAAATCTTCATTAAAGACATGTTAACAATCAGATTGCTCAAGGCAAATATTGCAGATAAAGAGAGAAATAAAGTTCCTGACTTTCTATCGACATTGTGGGGGCAGGGAGGGCATGTTGAAGACTCGTTCTCAAAGAGGGAAATGTATGGGGATGGAGTTGGAATTTTTTGCAGGCGAGGCAGTGATAACAGTGATTAGGAGACGTTATCACACTTAGTGGGTGGCAACTATGGGTGATAAGCATCCTGCACAACTAAGACAGTCCTTCACAAAAAAGAATTGTCCCAGCCAAGATGCTGTGCTTTTCCCTTGAGAAATACAGTGGGATGTGGCATAGCTAGCAGCCAGCTGACAGAAGGAAAATGCATGCTGATAAGGAATAGACTAGAGTGAGTGGTAGTATCTCATCAACAGAACATAGTCACCCAGCCCTGAGATTTGGTTCATGTTCAAGGAAGCTATCAAAAGAGTAAGAATGTAAATACAGGAAAAAAAAATCTGAATCATGAACAAAACCTATTTACCAGGAATTCCTCTATCAAAAGAAGTGTACCTTTTTGGTCCCCTCTCTTCAAACATCCATCTTGTTTAAAAAAAAAAACTAATTATATGATTAAAATCTTACATAACAAAAATCTTACATTCAACAAATATTTATTAAGTATACTCTATATTCCAGATTGCTTTAGGCTCTGGCAGTATAACATTGAAGGAAAATAAACATGGTCCCCTTTTATTAGCTCATAGTCTAGAGAAATTAAGCATATTCAAAAGATTCTACCCTTTTCACAAAAATATTCCCATCTGGAAGATTAATAAAAGAGATGTTTCCATTGCAGTTTAAGTAAAAATGATGTCATAACATCTCAAATACTAGCATCAGAGCCATATTCAAACACACATAAGAAGTGGCCACTAAGCACCCAAAAAGGAAAAAAAAAATTCTAGTTACATAGCAGGTGTATATAAATGTATATTTTGTGAGCCCATCCTTTTTAGGCTGAGTTCAAAGTTGAAAAGCCACAAAGTACCAGTTGCTTTGAATTATAGTTTTAAAATGAATTTAGCTAAGCTTTATTATCATTTTAGTTTTTTAAAAATTATTTGTTCATTTCTTTTGCTTGCAAATAAAACTGTCATCCAAATCAAGTAATAGAGTAAAATAAAAAGGGGGAAATGGTAGGAGAATTTGGATCTGAATGATCCGGTTTGGTTTCCCATAATGGTCATTTTCCCTAAATAATTGTTTATTTCTTTTACTTTGCCTCTGCATAAGAAAAGAGGATGTAGGTCCTAAACCTTCCCCCTCAGTTCTCCTTCTCTGCAGTGACCAGATCATTTAAAGAACACAGTCCTTTGCCAGATCAACAGGATTTATGACATCTGCAACTAACCCATAGAATGATGCATTTACAAGACTGTCATTGCAAACTGCAAAATAATTTCCTTAGCAATATTTTAAAAAACATACTGACAGGAGTTGAGTCACATCCTCACTTGTCAATACCTTTCTCCAAAGAATGAATATTTGCATATGAATGATTGCTCTTCATTTCCTGGACAAGACGTGAGCTTGGTGACCCAGAGCCACCAGTGCATTCAGCTGAAACTTCAGCAGTGCTAAATCCCTAACTCAGCATTAGAGAAAATAAGAAAAGATCAGATGTTGGCTTTATGCTACATTATCAGTCAAATGAATTGAACTGTTTCCAAGAAGAAGTCATATAATTTCTTTTCATGGAAAATATTCTTCAGATGTGGTCCTCATAGAGAACTGGTTGGAACTGCAAATTCTTAGCCCCATTCTAAATAGCAGAAACCTCAAGGGGAAGCCCAATCAATCTGTTTTAAATCAAGCCTTCCAAATGATTCTGATGCATCTTAAAGATTGTGTCATAGAGTATAGGTTGTGCTTAAAAAGCTCCGAGGATGTATTTGTGGTACTGCCAATGTATAATGAGGGAAACCCTGAAAGTAAAAAATGCAAATAAGAAAAGAGAAACTAAGTTCTTTTGTGGTTTCTAATCTGAAGACTCTTGTTATCTTTTTACAGTAATAAGCAGATGCCTTGGCAAAAGAAAAGCTGGCACAAAAAACTCTGATAAAAGATCACAGGAAATATTTGTTTAAAATTTTCCGTAACTATTGTTCTATCCAGAACCTCTGATAAAAGATCACAGGAACTAATTGCTCGAATCTTTGCACAACTATTTGTTCTAAGGGAAATTATTTTTTCTTTTCAGCTAAACAGTTGTTTCTGTCAAAAGGAAGAATTTTTTTTTTATCTAAGAAATGCTACCTCTCACTCTCAAAAAACACACACCTTCAAACACAGATACACATTTGTACATAGAAATATACATGAGTAGGTTTCATGTACATCTGCCTTTTAATGGTAAAATTAAAATGTATGAATAGATAGAATATATTGGCATATATGGCAGGAATGTAAATTTAACTAAGCGTACTTTTTATCTTGCTAAAATTGAGTTTTAATTATAAGTTTCAGCTTGAAACATTATGCCAAGGGCCTTCAGCATTTCATGTGTAATTAATACATTTTGCATGTGCTTGATGGAAGTATGGAACAGTGGGATCGCTTACCCGAACCACAGGAGGACACTGGCAGCTGTACAGAATCTGTGAAGTTTGATGCTCGCTCCATGACAGCTCTCCTTCCTCTGAGTGAGTAGAAGGGTGGGGTGCCTGTGGAGTTCATCCTTAGAGGTATTGATACTATGTAAAAGTATAGTCTTGAGACTTACCCTGAATGTGTATTAATGTTAAAATACTGGATCAATATGTCTTCTCCTCTCTTGAGATACAGTAGAAAAAAAGCTTAATTTGAAATAAGGAAGTTTTTTAATAAATTAAATTAGTTCACAGTATTGACTGAGTCCTCTGATTTCCCAGTGGCTGGGAAATGACTATGACCCTAGTACTGTGAATTAATATTTGAAAATCAGGTGTGTGAGGTGCATGTATTAGTCTTCTAGGGCTGCTGTAACAGATATCACAGATTGGGTGGCTTAAAACAAGAGGTATTATTGTCTCACTGTTTGGGAGGCCAGAAGTCAAGGTGTCAGCAAGGCCGTGCTCCCTCTGAAGGCCCAAGGGGCAAATCCCTCCCTGCCACTTCCTGGCTGCTACTGGCTTCCCGCAGTTGTCAGCCTTCCTTGGTTTGGAACTACATCACTTTAATCTGTGCTTCACATGGTTGTTCCTTCATCTTTATGTGTCTTCTCTTCTTATAAGGACCCCAGTCCTTGGATTTAGGGTCCACCCTATCCAGTAAGACCTCATTTTAGCTTAATGGCAACTACAAAGACCTGTTTCCAGATAAGGTCACAGTCTCAGATAGTGGGGTTAAGACATCACCAGTATCTTTCGGGAGGACACAATTTTTCCTTTTCTCATTTCTTAAAATAGACTATTTTAACAACATTATAGAACATTTTCTAAACTTTTGTTTTTAATTTAGGACAGAGCCCAAAAATAATATTGACTTCATTTTTACCAAGCTATAAAAGCAGTGGCCATAGGGAAGAAAATTTTAATGGACATTTTATTTACTTAATGAGAGAAATACCTTCCTCTTCTACTAAGATTTCCTTCAATATGGAGTCACCTTTTCCACAGTTAACATCCCATTCTGTGAATTGCTGTTCCACATAAATGGATAGATAATACTCAAATATGAGTATGTTCTGAATTATCCAGAGGGTGAGCTTCATTGATCCATTCCAAAGTTTAGCCAGAATAAAGATGATTTTGTTTATTTCATTTTTTTCTTCTTCATTTTTACGTTATATTCCAATCATATGCAGTATCCAAATACAAAATTATTGAGATGTAATTGGAAAAGAAAATCTCTGTAACTATCATTGAAAATGTGTATTTCTTTAACCTGCTTTATACTCTGAAGAAACTCATGAAGAATTTTATTTTCACCCAGAACAGATCCCAGTATGCAAGAGAAGAATAAAATTTATGTTTTCACATGTTGCTTTCAATATTAAAAATTATCAGTTAATGCCCCTAAATGAGACAGGTCGACTTGCTGAGGATGGTCATTTTGTCACAGATGTTTAGTTAGTGAATTGGTCATTCATCCTGATGCCTGTATTGGCTTTTCCTGCGACTCTCCCCTTGGCTTCCTACTGCATATCCAAGGGCCTGTTAGGGGTTTTTTTTCTCTCTTTCAATACACTTAGTAGTAATAATAGTTGAAGAAGACAAAAATTTTAATTAAGAAGAGTAAGTTTTCTAATTTTAGGTTGCACTTTTGTTTTTTTTAGATCCTAAAAATGGCCCTACACTTCAAGAGAAAATGAAGTCCTTCAAAGCTGCACTGATTGCCCTTTATCTTCTTGTGTTTGTGGTTCTCGTGCCTGTCGTCGGAATAGTGGCAGGTACGGCACTGTGGAAACTCGGCACCTTGTCCTGTGAAGTAGTTATCGCAGAAGCCAGAGGATGCATTCAGTCTTCCGTACATGAGTGATTCATAAAGGCTACGTTATATCACAAAGTGTTCCTCAAATTTATTAAATGAAAACATACATTCTGCAGTTAGAGTGAAAAAAAAAAAGAAATAGAGTAGAAAATGGAAGAGTAAGATAAAAATATAGATACGTGAAGGTAAAATGGAATGGCTTAGACCATTTCAGAAATATGTTATCTCCTGAAGTCTTGTATATTTCTGGTGCATCACAAATTTCATTGTAAGTATTCTAGTTTGCCAATGTAAATTTATAAACATGACCATTGATATTAACAATGCCTAAAATATAAAAACAAACAAGTTGTTCAGGAAAAGTTCTTGTACTCCTAATATTAAAAGCAGGAAGAAATATTCCTCTAAGTCTTTAAAAAAAGGAGAACTTGTAAAATAATGGCCTATACTTCAGCAATATCTTTATAGCTTATGTGGCCAAATGTTTCATAAGGCTATTACTTAAAACATTGGTAAAAATAACCTTATAGCATCCTCTCAATCAAAGAAAAAAATTAGAAAAAAATGTTTTACTTGGTTTCAACATGTTTTCCAACTACATATTTCTTTTGGAGAGTCTGACTTGAATCGTGGGTAGATTGTAAGTTTTCCACAGCTTACAAATCCCTCAGACAAATCTGTAAATATGATCCCCCTCAGTAGCATTTTTGTTGGGTTTGATTGACATTTGAATTCACATGCCTTTAAGCTCTCCTCTCCTCTCTAAGGAGCAAAATGTCTGGACATCCACTCTAACAAGAGATAGGCTGGGAGTAAGATAGTTTTACGTATATACTAATCAGCTTAGAAGAAAATGCTCCTAAATACAAGGCCAAACTACCTCTGCTTAGAGGCATCCTCTAAAGACATATTTCAAGACAGATCCAAAAGTTCTGATAAGAAAAAGATGATAGTAAAACAACAATTATAATAATAGCTATTATTTTTGAGCATTTACTACATTCAGGCACTGGGCTATAAATTTTCCACAGATTATCTTAATATACCTTTGCAGTTACCCTTGACAGACATATACTTATTATCCACAAAAAGAAACTGTTTAGTAGCACAGCTGCAGTTCCACACATGACTCTTGACTTCTCACCTCTGTGGTCTACTGTCTCCCAGGATAATTGGGTTTGTAGGACAAAATATAGTTGGCCTATAAAGAAACAAAATAAAACAGAGTTTTAGTCAGGAAAGTATTTTCCACAAGCAAAAAATTAACTTCTATTTTGGCATTTAAAACAAAAACAGAAATCAACCACACCGAACTAAACCAATGAGCCAATCAAACCAAGCACAGCCATTTAAGTAAAAGGACTTGACAGGCCCATCATCAGACAGCTGACCTCCTGATGAGCAGGTTATCTGTATGTTGTTTATGTATAAACTTATCTGTAGTTTGAAATGAATAGCTGAAAGGTGCTTCACTGTTTGGGATCATCAGCTGTAAGCCAGTTAAGAAGTGGCTAAATGTCATCAATTTATACAAACCATGGCCTGCAGGGCCACCGCTAGGGAGTCTGACTGTTTTCTAACAGACCCATGCAGAACATAGAGTGACGTCTGAGAAGAATTCAGGATTCTAACCAAGAAATCAGGAGATGCCACTAAGTCAACATGTTTATTCTAGGGTCAACAATGACTGATTGAAAGTAGTTTTTTTGCCAAAACTACAATAGGTATGCCTATTAAGATTGACAAGAAGTGAAAATGTTCAAATCTTTTAAGTTCACATTAGCAACCAGACTCACCAGAATTTGGAATAGATCTCACTGTGTCTATCACAATTGAATAATAAACAGTTGATAACCCATTTACAACTTTAAGTAAGTTGTAGATCAGAATATTTTCCAAAAAGGAACTAAAATGCAATATATAGCTCTAATTGATACAAAAAAAATAAATTTCAAATGTAGACAAAAATATATCTCTAAAAATGATGGAAATTACTCATTTTGGCAAATATGAAGTGACAGTAGAAAAATACTCTAAGTAAAACTACTTAAATTTAAAGTATCTTATACATTGAAAGATATCTTTTAATTATTAAATCTATTCTATATGCTACCTTTTCTTTAAGAACCTCTTGGCTCGCTGTCGTAGTATAACAACATAATAATACCTGAGCAGTAAAATATATTCTAGGATTAGTAGATGTAAGTTGTTACTGAAATTCTGAAGATTACCTCAAAATAATATAAAATTTTAGCAGAACAAGATATTACCAACATGAAAGAGGAAATGTGATCTGTAAAATCAAATGTAACTCTGTCCCTAGGTCTTTACACAAGCCATAGAAGTTGGTCTCTTTTCAAATGTGAAATAGAAAAGTTACAAAATGCCATCTTTACAGTGATAATGAAAGAAATGAACCTTGAAAATATGAACTGTAGTGTTCTTTACATTTTTAAAGAAAGTAAGGATTAAATTAGTTTTTATCCAGGATTTGGAAACACAAGTAATGTTTATTTTTAAATCTATAAGCAAAATACAGCCTTTATTGTCAGTTCATGTTGAACTTGATGTCAAATAAAAACCCTTCATCACAGGCCATTTTGTCAAATCAGGTTTTCCCTTTTCATACTATGAAAAAGATTTGCTTTAGCCATATAAAATGCAAAATTATTCCCAGGGAAATTAAATTACATGATTAAGCATTATGCCTCATAAAATAAAGCATGAAGACTACTGTGTTCATTGGAAACTCAAACTTCCCCAATTTGTTATATTACCCAATATTAGCTTGTTATAATATCCAATGCTATCAATATTGGGAATGTAGATGCTCTAAGTCACAGACAGTCATCACCAGTAACTAATATATATACATATATATAAATAATAAATAAATAATAACACAATCATAATTAAAGGACAGATTTTAAGAGACATCTTAGTAATAATTTTGTGAAAATTGTTAGTTTGTATTTCTGACTGTCAAAGTTAAAATCCACTCCTAGTCAAGTTCATATTCCAGAATTGTTCAAACAGTGCCTCATACACAGTAGTGCTTCATACATAAATGATAGAATTGATGAATGCAGAAATGAAGTTGTCAATCCAAAACTTGCTCCCCACACTTATTTAATAAATATGATGAGATACAACTTAGAAATATACTATTTGTCCACTTTCTTGTTAAATTAAAAAGTGTAAAATAATGTTCACTCTATGGCCTGTGTTGTGGATCATATCAAAATGTAGTCACACATTTTATTTATTCAAATAACTAAGTATAAAGGGATTGTAACTAGGAACATATGATATAATGTGCTTTTTAAAAATTGGGGTATAATTCCATATACAGTTTAGTACTTCTAATATAACAATAGCTATAATAGCAACTATCATTGAACAGCTTCTTTAAGTACAGGTGGTGAAACAGTGTTTTCTATAACCAAGACAATATCTTTCACGGACACAGTTTTCATATGTGCCGTCTGTGTGCTGTGGTGTTTACATGCCTCATCTCATCCATCCTCAGCACCACTGCTGAGGTAGTCATTACTTTTAGGTCTCTGAGGGAACCTAAACAAGAAGAATAGTAACTTTCCCAGAGCACCCCAGCTAGTAAATCAGGAGCTAGATTCCAGAAGCAGGCGGCTTGTTCCTTTGTAAACACCAAGGTCTTGTTTATGTAACAGGTACCCCTGAACTCATGTTACCTTATTTAATTCTCAAAAACCTATAAAGCTGATACTATTGCTATATCATTTTTATTAAGAAAACTGACATATGAAGTACAGCTAGGTGTTCAGTAGACATATTTTTAAACCATATGAAGTTATTATTTTTATTGCTCAACAATGGTCAAATATGGAAATTGTTAGGCATTCAAACTAATAGGGATGAGACTGGTAGATGTATGTATGAAAGTACAAGTAATACAAATACATAGAGAGAGGGATGAAAAAAACAACATAAACCTAACCATTGCTGATTAATGATAAAATGATGTTTAACATTTCCTTCATTGTGTATAGTTATGTATTATTTTTATCTACAAAGTTAATGTTGTTGCTTTTCATTTTCTGAAACTGTAAACATACTGCTATAGACCCTTTCAGAAGGATAATTGGCTTGTTTAGAGAACATATGCCGATTTGGAAATAAATATCAGCATCTCTGTATGTTCCCCAACTACTATTTAATAGAATTTTTTCTTCAGAAAATAATTACTCACAAGATTGTTCATTAAAATATTGACTATATTAGTGAAAACAGAAGCAAATAAATGTAGGGGTTTGGCTAAGTAAATTTGGTTGATCCATACATAGAATGCAATGTAGCTAATAAAGTTTTTTTGTAAAATATATTAATATGCAAAAGTCTTTATGCTATATTAATTAAAAAGTAGTTTATATAAAATATAATCTGGCTTTTGTAATAGTAATATGATAGTAGAAACAGTCAGATTTAATAGACATAAGCCAAAATGTTAACATTTAACTCAAGACAGTGAGACTAATGGCGTATTATTGTTCCTTATTGCCCTTTTCCAAATTATCTGCTATCAGTATATGTTTTATAATAGGCAAAGAGGAGTCTTGTAAAAACAATAGCTTTTAAAGTGAAAAAAATTATTTGCCTGATTTTCTGCTCCACCAACTCTTAATCAGGACTGTAGAAATTTAAGATGATCATTTCCTGCCAGCTTAAGTGATGAGGAAAATGAGCCAAGAATGTATTCATAGTGTGGACCGCACTAATACTTTACTTTTACTACATATTGTTTTTGTCATCATCATCATTTATCTTCAGAATAGCTTCAGATGCTGTGTTAAGCATTATTATTGTATCCTAACAACAGACCTGAGGAGTAGGATACAATGCATTTCAGAATTTGTAGAATTTACTCTTACTTTCCAAGCCAAATACAATGGCCCAAAAGATTCATATAAGTAGCAATCCAGACAGAGTGAATTAATCATATAATATATTCTAATATAAAGTGGGAAAAGGAGACTCTCCCTCTCAGCAATATTATGGTTCATACATTGTATATTTAAAATAAGTACCTGATTTAGGATAGCATTCAAAATGTTGGACTAGAATGGAATGAAGTGAAGTGGCATGTAATAGTATATGCATTTAAGGAGACAGGCCCATGACTGTTTGTTTTTACTTAAACATGCAGCTCATCTCCTCAAGTGGGAAATGAAGAATTGCACAGTTGGTTCAGTTGATGTAAACGGTGCATCTCAAAGTCTCACAGGGAAAGGAAATGACAGTGAAGATGAAATGAGATTTCAAGAAGTTGTTACGGAACACATAAACAACTTGGAGAAGAGGATCCAATATATTTCAGATAAAGAAGCCAATCTTATAGATTCAGAGCATTTCCAGAATTTCAGTGTGATGACTGATCAAAGATTGAATGATGTTCTTCTCCAGCTAAGTTCCTTGGTTTCCTCAATCCAGGGGCATGGAAATGCCATAGATGAAATCTCCAAGGCATTAATAAGTCTAAATACCACATTGCTTGATTTACATCTCAATATTGAAACACTGAATGGCAAAGTTCAAGAGAATGCATTTAAGCAACAAGAGGTAAGACTTTTTGTATTGGAAGGGCACATGCTGGAACTGAATCCATATAGATCCTAGTTCCTCTGACAGTCCAGGAAGACAAAAGTTTCAAGCCCTGTGTCAGCATCACGCTGCTTATCCTTGTTCCTCTGGCTGTCTTACCAGAAGGTTTCAAATGGATTTACCTAATGCCTTCTCCAGATTCCCAGGAAAAGGTGGACTTTTTCCCATTGCACATACTCATAAGGTATTATAGTTTTGTAAATCCTGTTGGAGTACCTCATAAAACTGTCCAAATCATTTACAATTTTTAGATAATCCTAGCAGACTTGGAGAAGTAGGCACTATGTATTTGTAAATTCTACAGCAGACATAAAATGTCATCAAAGAAATGGAAGTCTGGTTTACATGGATAACCTAAAATAGTTTATTTTGCCACTCCCAAGAAGTCTATCTAAGTTTTTATATGTAAAGATAACTATTAAGAATTAAATTTGAATAATGTACATAATGTCCTATTATCATCATAGTATCAGATACACAAGAGAGCAAGACATGTTCTAGACCAGCTGTCAGAAAAAGTTTGTTTTTAGAGAGCCAGATGTGAATAAACATTTCAGGCTTTAGTGACTACACAGTCTGTGTCATAGTTGTTCAACCTTGACATCGGAGCACAAAAGCAGCTACATATATGTAACCAAATGATTCAAGTGATCCAATTAATGTTTATTTACAAAAACAGACTTTGGCCCAGAGATCATAGTTTTCTCATCTCTGTTCTAGACTATTCTGTGGCCAAACCTCTGAATTATTTTGTAGTGATAAGAAAGAAATTAAGAAGAAAGCCACTTATTTCAAAATTGTATTTTTGGTTGTTGTTGAATAATTGTAATTGTTCCTTTCTATGAAAAATAAGCATGTAACTAAAACAACTATTCATGTGGAAAAACAATCTTCATATTACAAAATATCTAAAACCTCAGGTAATAATTAATGTGACCTGTTAAAGTCCCACCATTAGCTAAGTGATGCTGGCCTCCTGTAGTTGATTTTACTTGAGTAGACCCATTCTTAATTAATGAAGTTGTTTTCTGTATACATACAATATTACACAGTAGTCATTTTAAACAATGCAAATTGCAGAGCAAAGATAATCCTCTAAAGTTACAACATCAAATGAAAACCAACTACATTATCGAACACAGAATAAACAAGTAAAGAATAGTCTACATATTTCTTATTTGTAAGGTGCAGTGACTCAGACTTTGAAATGTTTACACAGTCCTCATATTAAGGTATCTTTGCAGTAAAAATATGAGGACTTTGTTGTTGAACTTATCCAACATCAGCCTTGATATGCTACAACTTCCAAAATCTGACTTAGTATTTCCTTCACTGTTAGTAAGTATCTAAGCATATCAAATACTATGGAAATATCAAGGACTTGGGCTATGGAGGGGTTAGAGAAAATCTACAAATAAGAAACTGTCAACAGGGTTGAAGAATATGGGAGACAGTGGCAAAAAATGTCAATCATAAGGGTAATAACTGATTAAATTGGAGAGAAAAAGGAAGGGAGAAGAAATACTTACTTGAAAGCAGAGAAGGTGAGTAGAAGGAGAAGATGGTCGAGGTGGAAGAGCAAAGATATATTTGGTATTGGTGATGCTTCAGGTCCAGCGGACACTATAGAATATCTATGAATCCACACAGATGAAGAGCTGAAACCAAATTGAAAACCATCTGGAAGACAGTAGAAATACTGGACATGTTTGAAGCGATCATTAATGGAAATAATCAAAATCCAGTGACTGGGGAACTATTTGAGTTTGGATAGATCGCTCTTATTTTTTAGAAGGGCTCCCAGCATTTGAAACGCAGGCACAAGGGAATGGAGGAATGTTCAAAGCTAGTTTTTTTTAAAGGCAATAATCATTTATAGAGATTTAGCAACTAGGTAAGTACGTGTGTGTGTGTGTGTTCGTGTGCGCTCGTATGCATGTATGTGCTCATAGAACACAATAATCATTGCAGCATTGTTTAAAAATGTAAAAAAGTATAGCTCAAAAGTCCATTATGAATATAAATCTTAAATTATAAAAATATGTACATTAGTTTCCACTAAATCATTGAAAATAAGACAGTTTTAAGTATTTTAATGGGCAAATATCCTTAATGTCTTATTGAATGAAAAATGAAAGCTTATTCCAGAAAGTAGTATGGTCTCACATTCACAATCTCTGTATGAGTATAAATACAAACAGATTATATATGTATTTGAAAACAAAATAATAAACCTCAAATATAGAGGGAACAAAAATTGAAAGCAAAATATTGTTAATATGCTATTTGAGATATTACTGAATATGAAAAGCTTATCTGAATGTTCATTACCACTAGGAATTATTATATTAAACTTTTATTTCTTTAAAACAGTTTAATATGCAAATCTTTCCAATTCACAGAACTGGAAGCTGTTGCTACTGTAAATACAGTATAAAGAAATTCCACTTCAAATAAATGAAAAACTATACAACAAGTTTTTTAATTTTTAGCATTTGACATCTATGTATTTGGAAATAGAATCATACCTTGTATGTATTCAACTAATTTTCAGGGGATAAAGGGTGTGAAAATTCAGCCATTCAGTCAAAAGAGGAAATGCTTCAAAACCAAAGAATTGTATTTTGAAACAGATTTCTAGTTTCCATATTCTTATACCATAATATTCCTATAATACATATTTTTTTGAAGCCTGGCTTTCAGAGTCTCTTAAACTTACACATTTGATAATTATGTGTGTAACAAAAATTGTGGATGTTTGCTTATATTTCACAGGAGATGAATAAATTAGAGGAGTGTGTGTACAATGCATCAGCAGAAATTATGTCTATGAAAGAAAAACAAGTACATTTGGAAAAGGAAATAAAAGGAGAAGTGAAACTATTGAATAACATCACTAATGACCTCAGACTGAAAGATTGGGAGCATTCTCAAACACTAAAAAATATCACTTTGATTCAAGGTAAAATAGTCTTCTCACTCCTCCAGAAAATGATATATTAAAATGTTCTGATACATGCAGAGATTTGATATTAAAAATCGTATGGTTTGAAGTAGTTTTTGAGCACACATTTACTACACATTTCCAGAGGAAGGAATCTTGAGATCATATCAAGGCATGGTAAGATAACAAGATCTTGTATCCTTTAAATAGAAAGTGATGTAAAAAAAGAAAAATCTCTCTGAAAGTCTAATCAGTCATTGTTCAAAATAATCCCGTATTACTGAAGACAAGTACACATTTTCTGAAGGCATAAAGTTTTTTGCTAGTCCTCAAATCAAGCTTATTCATTCTGTTTTTCATAACTTCCAGATTCTTTCTTTCTTTTTACCTGATTGTATTATTAATGAGAAAGGTCTTTGAACTGCCCAAAATAGCAATGAATTTGTCAATTTCTTCTTTGGTTCCTGTTAGTAAAACAAGGTGAATTGAAATCTACTGATTTGTAAAATAATACATACATCATATATATCTTTATGCTAGCTTTTAGTTACTTGCATTTTAAACATTTTTCTATATTTTACTTTCAACCTTTTGGTATCCTTTGCTTTAGGTTTGTCTCTTCTAAAGAATACATTTTTTAAAAACATGCAATCTGAACATTTCTTTTCACTGTATTTATCTCTACCATCTTATTTTGTGCTGTATTTCTCCAGTTCTATATTCCTTTGCTTTGCTTTCCAAAAAGATTTTCGAAACTATTCTAGTCCAATTTTGTTGCTGATTGCCCTTGAAATTTATCTTAACAAAATTTAAAGTTGACTGGTATCTTCACCTTTAACTTGAAATATACATGGAACTAAAATGCTTTTTCCTCTTCCATGGTTTCCTGCTGTTTTTGAGTACATTTCTATTTGATGTGTTTTTTTAAAACAAGAGTTTTGTCATTATTTTTCTTGCATATACACACGATACTTATTTAGATTTGTCCATTGATTTTACCAACTTTTCCCCCTTCTAAATTAATCTCAGACATCTCGTCTAGGATCATTTTCCTGAGGTATATATCCTTTAGTGGTTTGTTTAGTGAAAGTCCATTGGTGGTGAGACCTTTTTTATTTCATTTTCTCTATTTTGTCCTTGGTCTTTGCTTTTGTGTTACTGCATACACATTGGTTAGGTTGCCAGCTTTTGGTGATTTCTATCAGTATTTTGAAGATATCCCCTGCTTCTGGCTTTCCTTGTTTCAGAAGTGATTGCTCTCAGTCTGCTTTTTATTACCTTTGTTTTAAATACCTGCAATTTCATTAATTTGTGTTTTTATATTGACAGTTTATTCATTTGGCATTTGCTTTACTTCCTGTATTTGTGGATTTAAGTCTCCCATAAATTTGGAAATTTTATAAGCTTCAATTTCTTTGAGTAGTGCTTCTTCACAGTTCCAGCTTTTCCCCTGTAACTCTAAATAAATTCATGGTAGACCTTACTCTGGCTTCTATGTATGTTAAGCTCTGTTTCATAATCTCAATATTTTGATTTTTTGATAGTAAGAAACAAATCCACGTGATTTCATTTTACTTAAGACTAGTTTAGGAAAATTGCGAAGTCTAATATCCAAGTGTTTACAAGAAAAGAAAATTTTTAAAGTTCCCAGAGTACTATTTGTAGTACAGTTTTCGTTTCTAATGCTCATAACTTAATAAAAGTATATAATGTATATTTATAGATCCATATGTCATAAGAATAGTTGTTTTTAAAATTTGGGGACATGAGAAACACAAAATTCAGATTAATATTGAACTCCAACAAGAAAGTAAGTGAACGTGCCTATATAGATACCCATTTCTTGGGTTGTAGTGTTGCAGGGTAGTCTCTTTGTTATTGTGTTTTATAGCTTATGTAGAATGCATTGCATGTATTCTTTAATTTTTGCATTAAAACAGATGATAAAGGAAATGAGTTAACCAGCTCTATTTCTAACAGTTAGACACCTCTGCTGGGAGGAACCCGGTTCACAGTTGCAGGGAAGTCAGAGTGAGACGTAAAACCAAAGTCAAGAAAGCAAAGCGAGTTTTGTTACGCCCTGTAACAGAGCAGGCTGCCTGAGGTCGGGCCAGCCCTGACTGCTTACTTGTGAGGCTTCTGTTACAGGGTTTTTGGCAGGACAGAGAAGTCCTTGACTGACAATCCTTGGCCTTGGAGGCCTGATCTAATTGGTGAAATGAAGACATGGCTGCACTCTGATGTTTGGTGTGCCTGTGTTCTAATGTTTTTCTTTATCTGGGGAGTTGTTTTTCATTTGGGGAGCATCTGGACATTTCAAGTCACTCCTGGCCCTTGAAACATCATCTGATTAACTCTGTGAATCCTTTCTGGCTTTCTGGTTTTATCTGATTAACTCTTCGAGTCGCTTTTAGAGGGCTTTACTCTCTTTCCACCCCTCTCATATCTGTCTTCCTGCCTAACCTCTCCACTTTGGATTTCAAATAAGTATCTATATTTTTACAAAACCAAACCCTTAATTCTTGAGCATCCCATCATCATTTATCCCTCAAATCTGTTACTTTCCCAGTCCTGTCAGTTGCATAATTATTCAACTGCTATCTTTGATGTCTCTCTTTCTCTCAATTCCTGCATTCACCTGAGTCCTGTTATCTCTTCCACCATACATATTCCAAATAAAACCCCTTTTCCCTATCTCCTCTGCTACTATGCTAATAGAAGCAACTATACTCCGGTCTGATGCACTACATTAACTTCCCAGTTGTTTTTCCCTGATCCTATTCTTAATCTGAACTACACAATATACAGCAAAAGGAATGCTATCCAAAACAGCACGTGCTTGATCTTTTCTCTCTCATTCTTAAGACCCTCCAGTGTCTTCCCATTGGACTTGAAATAAAATCTAAACTCCTACTTGGTCTGACGCCCATCTACTTATCTGCCTTCATTTTCTGATTTTTCCATCAGTCATTCTGCTAACTTGGAAATCTAGAAGAATGGAAGTGTGATTAAAAGTACAAGTTAAGAAGGAGGAAGTGCTAGTTTCACTTCTTGCTGTACCTTAGGGGCTCTAGATTCCCACTCTCTTAGGTCTCCACTCTTTGGTACCACTCAAAATCACCTTTTTAGGGAAAATTTATCCCTTCCTGTTCTCATTCTTCTCCCATCTCTCTACATCATTATTTGCTTTAACTTCATCATAGTACTTACCATTACTTAAAATCATGTCATACGTACATTTGCTTATTTGTTTCATTATCTTTACTAATGGAATGTGAAATCCATGAGGGTGAGTCTTGTTTCCATGTTTCTCTCCATACCCAGTCCCTGATAGAGTGCCTGGTCTACAGTGGGTGGGCAATTATATGTGAATTATGTAAGTAAGAAACTAGCGTTTCCCTCTTGAATGAATATATTCAATTCTATTTTGAATGAGTAAGTGAAACTCATACTGCCTTCTTACGCAATTATACTTTGAAAAGGCAATCATTCTTCCAAGTTTCTAAGACAGAAATTTTAATTGGTTTTATTATTTATTATTTTTATTTTAAAACATTTCTCAAGTAATAATAGTAATGACAGTCAAAGGACTATTGTTGAAACAGTAGTTTTGTGGGGAGTAGGGGATAACATAATTTAAAGAAACAAGTTGGTGAACATTTGAGGAAGGAAATTAGAAATAAAATATGATATTGCTCAATGGTGAGAAAGGATAACATGATGTTTATTTGGAAAAATTTTAAACATAGTTTCTTTGCAGGGTCTGAAAGCACCATATATATATGAAAATTACAAAGTCTGTTTTATACATATGTACATATATATAAATTTTCATGGCCTGGAAAAGATTAAGCATTTGATAGAATTAGAATTTAGAGACTTGTGCAATTAATTATTGGGATTTTTAAAAATAGATTGTTTCTTTAGCCACTCTCTGTAAGGGAAAAAACATCTCAGGAATAATGGAAGAACAGATGCTAAAAATGAACTCAATTAAGTTTGGAGCAATACAGCCTAGGATGTCAGGAAAGGAGGGTTCTAGTTCTGGTTTTACTCAGCTGGCGTTAAGACTTTGGGCAATGCAGTTTCTCTGACTAAGAAATCTTTAAGGTCTCTTCCAGATTAAAGATCCCTACGCCAATTAACATGAAAACTGTAAGGGAAAAAAATAAATAAAAGAGACAGGTTTAAGCAGCAATAGTGTAGAAGACTTAGCAGATTTTTATGATGATCTGAATATGAGGCAAGATTAAGAACAATGTAGAAAATTTTTATCATAATGAATAGGACATAAATAAGCATAGCTCTGGAAATTTAGGCAGCTATATTTAATGCTATGTTATCATCTGAGGATTTTAAATGATATGATATGCCTAGGTTTACTTTTCCAGTAAACTGGGCAATTTTGATCTATGAAATTTATGATTATTGAGTATTCCAAATCAGTACATTTCTTGTGGTTATGGAAAAATATTAGTTCTCCTTAAAAAAAATCATAGGGAGATAAATAGATTTTGTATGCATGTTTTATAGATTTTATATGTGTGTTCATGGCAAATCATTGTTATAGTGTTTATGAATTATTCCTGTAACTTTGCAGTGAGAAGGTATTAAACATGAAGATAAATAGTGTAAATTCTTATGTCTTCTTGAGCTAGAGCAAATCATACTTTTTGGCCAATATTAATTCTAGTTTTCTTTGATATATGTTAGCAAGGGATGTGACAGGTGGCATTATGTCTATTTACTGATGCACAGAGGTGGTTATTGATATGATTATGGAATAGAATTTTGAGAGGCTAAATAGTAGCTCAGAATAAAGAAGGCAACTACAATAGATTCTCAGTCTCCTGACTAAAAGGTCTTTATTCTTTTTTCCACAGCGTGGCAGAATAGATTGCAGCAGTTCTTTACAGTTGGTGGAGATATTATTTAAGGGAAAAACAAAGCTGACCCTGAAAGAATTATGAGGGGGAAATAACTCTAGAACAGTCCAACTGCAGGATGATGAGAATATGAGCTGCAGCAGGGATGGGAGACCAGTTTTGGAAGGTAGCATAGCAGCATTATATAGACATTGTTCTCAGAAGTTCTACACAAGAAGCTGAGAGACAAGTGGCATATGACCTGTGGACTTCCATCCCCCTGAATATCTAAAAGACGCTAAAAACATTTATTGATATGCTACCGCATTTTGTTTTGGGCAGTACAAGAGATATAACAGTGTATAAAAATTAAACCTAACAGGTGAAATTAACTTTACATGAAGAATAAAACAATAAAAATGGGACATCCAGCCCACATAGTTAGAACCCAAGGAAAGCCTTTACCTGGTTTACTTACTCTGGGATTCAGATACCTGATACCAGTATTTTTGTGTAAAAATACAAAGTGGGATCTTTAAATCAGAAACTTATAAAATAACACATGTTTATTGTGATTGAATTAATATTTTAGTGTTAGAGCTGTATACATTTGATATACATAGTAATATGCAATATAATTGAAAGGATAGTGATTATGAGAGTTCCAAAGAAATGATGAAAACCCAATCTTAGAGGCTAAGAGCCTAGATCTCTTCTATTCATCACTTGTTTCTTGTATCACACATTCTCACACATTCTAATGTTTCCTGGAATGTCTGTGCCTTCCTATAGAGCACTAATCACTAAATCAAAGTCCTTGCTTGTGCCCTTTTTTTTTTCTTTTCAAAACAAGATCCTTGAGTACCCTGGGTTTGCTTCCCTTCAATTTGCTCAGCAAAATTCAGGCTACAAATTGAGTCCTTCTGTCCTGCCTGCCCCTGCATGCCTCCTTTGTCACTATGTGAAGATGAATGAACTGCAGCTGTGTTCATGGTGTGGAAGTTAAACCCTTTTTGTTGGCAAGAACTACATTCTGCATGGAACAGGAGATGCATACAGATTCCCAGTGATGCAAAACTGTGACATTCTTTGTGTAACAACTAAATATATGTCTCCAATATTAAGCTATAGCTTAGGAGAATTTGTTTGCATGATGATTTTGTGAAAAAATATGTGCCCCATCCTCTGCCCCAGAGGATGGGGGACTCACACTCACACACACACACACATACACAGGAAAAAATGTTAATAGTTATTCTCTTAAGGTGATAGAACTGTGAATATATATATTCTCTCATAATTTTTCTAGGTTTTTATATTTTCTATAATAGAGTTGCCTTTGTAATGAAAATATAATAAAACATTACTGTCCAGTGTTGTATATAAAGAGATAGGAACACTGCCATTGAGAAGAGCAGTGATATCTTAGAAATTGAGTAACCACTGAAGGAAGATTTTAACACCCAAAATGGACCTTGAAAAATGGAACAGATAAGAAAAATGGAGAGAATTAGGGACAAGACTTAAAAAGAGCAAAGAAAATGGACAGAATACACCTAATTCATAAGATAATCTATTTATTTATGTGGACCTCTTTTAGAATTCTTCAGTTATTTTATCTCCTCACACCCTTGATTAAAGTTTATAAACAAGTGCTAACCAGTGATGCTAAATATAGTTGTGTGGTGTCCTTGGGCCAGTGTGTGACTGAACCACAGTGATAGAAAACACCTCTTTTAAACATTGTTGTGTATTATTCCATGTGGTATCCAGGTCTGTTTCTTCCTTTGGAGTTGAAAAAATGAATTAAGTGTTCTAAGTTAAGGGAATGATACTTGTCCTGTAAGTTCTGAAGATGTGCTTAGTGCCATAGTGCCACCATCCTAAAGATGTGATCACTGGGTATCTCTCTTGTTGAGCACAGAAAATTCAGATGACTGAATCACTGTTGCTCAAACCCAAGGAACACCTGGGTGATTGTGAGGCTAAGCAGTCAAAATTGTCCCTGCAATCTCTCCACCTTATTTTATAGTATCTGTATCTATCTAGAGATTCTACTTAATATTTTACTTGGAAAACATTACTTATTTTTGTCATTTTTTCCTCTACTCATTTTCACCTTTCTGCCTTGCCCCATATCTCTCCCACTTACCCAGAATTCTCTTCCTTCTCATTCTCCCCATTCTTTAGAGCAAATCCTGCTCCCTCAATGAAGTCTTCTCAGCCATTGCTGCTAATGCTGATCTACATCTCTAACAAATATTTGGCTTTACCAGTTTCAACAATATGGTTTTTGATTGTCTACTATGTGTGGATTTTTGATTCCCTTGAGGGTCTCACACATGACTTATAATTCCTTACTACATATTTTCTACATCTAACTTATTTCCTACACCTACAGCATCTTACTCAATATAGTGACGTCTTCCTAGTATGTACACAATACTAATGTGGGGTTGTGCAATCAATGGCTCAATGTCTCTTCTCTGCCCTTAGGTTCTGGAAACCTAGAAAAGTACGAGGCACACAGAAATATTTAATACATACTTAGGGTTTCTCATTTAGGGCTCTCTCATCCCTATTATATATAAGAAGACTTTGGATTTACTCATATGACTGTCTTGACAAGTGGCAAATTCATTTTACCTATGCTTTAAAACTGTGATCAGTAATTGTCATTTATTTTTTAAAGGTCCTCCTGGACCCCCAGGTGAAAAAGGAGATAGAGGTCCCACTGGAGAAGGTGGTGCAAAAGGCATTCCAGGTCCAATAGGTATGGTAACAGTAACTAATCATATGCTGCAGGGCCGGGTAATATACATCTGTGTATGTATGTAAATGAAAATAGGCATTTGATTTGTTTTTTTGTGGTGTGTGGTGCTGGGGGGTGTATTGAGGAAGATATTAAATGTTCCAGCATCCTGATCACTATAATGTACTGAATGGTAAGCATTGACTCTTTGGTTTTTGAACCAGAGCCACCACATGGGTTGTTCATAAGTCTATTGAGTGCTATCTATATTTATATCTATCTACAAACAGTAGATAGCAGACCTAGCTTTGGGTCACATGTGAAGGAGAATATGAAAATGACCTTCACATGAATGTTTTTGCAAGTTATCTGCTTTTTTACAATAAAAAAATAAAATGTGTTCATCTGAGTCAAAGGAAAATTGGATTATATTCTTTGTATAGTCCTTCACTGGAATATAACTGCTTAAACTTAAGAAATATTAATGTAAATATTGACTAGAATATGGATGACTTTTACCTTTGCCATCAGCCACTCTCTATTTTACTTAGAGCAAGACTGTTTCAAATTATGTTCATCTGTGTTGTAATCTTGAACGCAATATTTTGAAAGAAGATAATAGAAGGCAGAAAAGGAGAAAGAGCATGAACTTTCCTTGCTTTCAAAAAAATAAAGAAGACAACAACAATAATGTGATTGTCATGTTATTGTTGGCTAGAAATCAAATACCTGCATGCTTTTGGAAAGTGGGGAGTATATTGCATGGTCTGGTCCAATTATAACTAGAATGGCTTGAGCTGCCCAAAAAAAGCCTAAATACCATGCATTTCATCCTGTTTTACTTTCTTTTGGATATATGTTCATTTAGATCAATATATTGACTTGCCCAGCTTACATCAGAAAAACCATTTTTAAAAATGAAAAGCATGAATTTAACACCTGTCTGACCTTTACATCATTTATGCTTAAAGAGCCAATACATAAAGCTTACATTAAAAAGGTTTAAAAATTATTTTTAAAAAGTCTCTTATA